GATAGCATCAATATTGACAAAGTTGGATATATTGTCCGAATATCAGACATGGTATCCTGTCCGAATGTCCGGATAATATCAAACACGAGTGGTTAGTATGACGTTTGGAGTGTCCGAATGCGGATATATTAATGCAGCGGTCAATTATGGTGATGATCAGCATACGTATGCAACGGATTACGGCTCAATTGCCGGGTTTTTTTGTACGAATATTGGGTGGTGATGCAAATGCAGCCATATGCCTATACAGTACTGCATTGGTTGACTCGATGACATGTATATACACATTACAATATGGTAACAATATGGTAACAATACAGAGTTACAATGGCTGTTGTATAGGGTCAAAATAAACGGTTGAATAGTATTGAAATACGACACAAAATCATGCAAAAAAACAACGCATTGTGGGGTAATGACACACTCATGATACACTGTATGATGGTGGTCGGATCACTGTGATATTGGACAGTAACATGCATACATGTTGTATACACAACCAGTTGAAATATGGATACAATCCGAGTGTTACTGATGGGACTACAAATGATTGCAATAAAATTGTAATGATCAAGCGTAATTGAACATGTACAAAACGCACGTCCCACACATGGACAACACACTGCAATTCAATGGCACAGTACATGATGACGATGCAAGCGATATGTAAGTATATGTATATGGATATGGAGGTACGATGATTGCGGATACAATGGTGTACAGATCAACAGTGAATGGAGCACAAACAACAATGGAGCATGGACATTATAATGCGTACAAAAAGATGATCACTACAGCAACACACACTAGATACAGTTTTGATGACAGGATGGTAATACAGCAATCAAACCGGCAGTATGCGATACAGTATAACGTATAGCATTGTATAAAGTGATGATGAATGGCCATTGATTGATATTGGTGACGAATACAGACAGGAATGTATGGTCATGGCACGACGATAATTGACATGTAAAACGGCCAAGTAATATTGAATTGCCGAGACGTTACCAAAGCAATGTTTTTGAACAAACCATTTGGCATAATCAGAAAAATAACGAGACTTAAACAGGGTCATTTATTCAGTGTGGAAGGATCCAAGAACCGGATATCTGTGAGAGCACAACCCGATGAAATAACTCGGCGGGCAGAACAGATCGGTGCAGCACACATTGATAGGCTTTTGATAGCTAGCCAATTGTAATTATCACTTGGAACGTCCCCGCCGTATTTGTTGATATGGAGGGAGCAGCGTTTGTCGGAGCAATCCGTCGGGTAATTATTAATTGGTGCTCATTGATGGGTTAGCACTATGTGGTTTTTGGTTTCCACCCCGAAGCTATGCACAATGGTAGATTTGGGTGACTCGGAATATAATGGCTAAATTATAGTGATGATAATGGCACTACTGACAGCGATGACAGTATTCGGCACGACCATATCTGTTACTATAATGCTTTTTGATATGAATCAGCAGTTTTTTGAACGGCATATTGGGCCCGACAGGGTGATTTGATGACCTACACAACCGAGATTAGCACGGAATGCGTGAAGCAAAACCGAATTGATTAGGAAGTGTACAGAACCAGATGAACCAATGGCTTGAAAAAGCAAATGTTGATGTTTAGGATGTGATGTGGTTGCAATATTTGGATTTCCAGATTTTTTGATCTTGATTTGGATATGCAATTACTACAATGTGGATACCGTGAATGTGTATTGAACAGTTGGACAAGATGGATTGGGACAACTAGCGAGGTTTAAATCTTAGTAGTACCAATTATTATATATGGAGTAATGATTTGACTGGGCCAATTTGGATTTGGATTAGATTTGTGGATTTTGAATTTTCGGATTTTCGGATTCGGATTCATAATTTTAAATTGAATTTGATTTGGATTTGGATTGTATTTGGATTGGGTTTAAATTTGATTCTAATTGAATTTGATTCAATACCAAATAGCTTGGTACAATGATTACAGTGCACACCATATATGATGATTACCGCGAAAAATACCAGCGCAATTGTTTCAAACCAGTGGGTTCCATGTAGGAACCAACCGATTCAACTGAACAGTACACAAATGGGGTAAACACATGGTAGACACATGACGAATAAACATTAATGTAAGCGATTTTGAGTGATTGGAACAAAAGGTGATGTGCACGACGTAAACAAGACGGCAAAGCAACACAAGAACCGTGATGATCAAGGGGAAAATGGTATTCGAAACACAATGTTGGGGTTGATATGTTGAACGAGGGACTGCGACAGTGGAGTATTGTCATTTGATGACAAATGTCCACTTGGGAATGATACAATTGGGTATTGTTTCCACAAACGGGCAAGCCAAACATGGTAACACATGGTTGGTGAGTTGCGTTTGGAATGGACGGCGTTGTTGTACTTGGTACAGTGACAATGTCCACTTGGGAATGATACAATTGGGTATCGTTTCCTCAGACGCGGCAAGCCAAACATGGTAACATGGTTGGTGAGTTGGGTTTGGAATGGACCCCACTTGATGT